GGGGAAACAGGGTAGGTCTGGTGTCTGCTCAGCCCAAGTTAACAACCCATGACACACGTATACCAGGTTTCCTTTTTGATGTTTACTGATCATGTGGGTCATTCTGCTTTGATTATTACTATTTTAATTCCATATACCAAGGTTCTTGGTTTGACCACTCATATTTTATAAGTTCTTCTATCAATTCAATCATTAAGGAGCACCACCAAGAATGCACTTTCATTCTTCAGCATCAACTTTATTTGACATTAGTCTTCAATTCTGCCCTTTTGAGACTTAATCCAGCCCAGTACCTTTATCTCAGTCATATAACCCCCATTTCCTCTATGTAGCCATGGCCATCCCCAAAACACCCAAACCAGAAATAAAAGAGAAATTTTCAAAAGCAGAGAGAAAAGAAGTCAAAATTTCAGAAACGTCATACTAGGTTAGAAGATTCCCATGTAAACATACTTACAGTTAAACTGGCAGAAATCATGGGGCACTCCTCACCATGGTCAGAGCCATAGTAAAAATGTCTGGTTGGTACAGCCTCTTTGTCTAAATTACACTTCAGTGTGGCTTGGTCCAAACCATCCAGGTTGATACAGAGGAGAATGAAACCCACTACAGCAGATATGCAGCTCAGAATGTTTGTGATCAAGCTTCCCTTTACCTAAAAAAAGAAATGCTGAGTAAGCATCAACTATTCATGAGCAATAAAGGCATCTATTATATTTCTTTTCCAGGAACCAAAAGAATTTATTTCCTTGTCTATCTTCCTCGGGAGGCCTAGGAGAGATCACGTATCTCTGTATGACTTCTTCAGACCTAGCAAAGTTTCTAAATGTAGAAGATAGGTCTTGGATGAGGACACGAATAAATGAAATGTTTCCCCCTAGCCAGACTTCAAGGTGCCCTGGTGATGCTGTGGTTAAGCACTGTGCTGCTAATTAAAATTTGCATATTTGAACCCACCAACTGCTCCATGGGGGAAAGATGGAGTGGCCTGTTTTTATAAGGATTTACAATCTTGAACACACTATAAACCCCAAACCAAAGTTCCCTGCCATGGTGTCAATGTTGACTCATAGAGACCCTATAGGACAGGGTAGAATGCACTTGTGAGTTTCTGAGACTGTAACTCTTTCCAGGAGTTGAAAGCCAAGCATTTCACTGAGGAAGCAGCTTGTGGGTTTAAATTAGTGACCTTGAGGTTATCAGCCCAGGGGATAACCACAATGCCACCTGGGCTCTCAATAGGATAATTCAATTCAATGGACTTTTTGATCATGGATTGGGTTTGGGTTTAGTTAGAACTTTAGTGGGGCAGAAGAACATCTTGGTCTCCTAAATGTCTTACGCTGACAGACAGCAAGATAATTGAGGTTAAACCTGCAAAATCGCCCAGAGTATGACCTGAGGCAAAGATACCAGTGGACCAGTTTTCTCACCCAACTCACCCAGAAACTCCTCGTGGAAGCATTATTCACACTAGGGGGAGATTAGTACTTCATTCTTTCTTGCACACCTACTCAAAGATAGTTCTCAGACTCTTGAAGTTCCTGGTTTCTGGACAGAGCTGTAGCTTGCCCCCTCTGTGTAGATAGCTAGAGACAGAGTTCTAGACTCACACCCCCGGTCCCCCAACCCAAGACCTGTTGCCATCAAGCTCATTCTGGTTCCTGGTAACCTTATGTGTTACAAAGTAGAACTGAGTTCCAGTGGGTTTTCTTGAAAGCTGACCGCCAGGCTTGTGTTCTGTGACACTACTGGGTATGTTTGAAATGCCATCCTTTTAGTTAACAGTCAGCTGAAAACCATTTGCAATGCCCAAGGAACGATGGAGGCAGATCCAGAGATGATAGGAAGCATAGGAGCCAGAAGAAAAGTCTGATCTGGAAGTCAGAAAACTGGGGACACAGAATTAACTTCGCTGCTCGGTCTTCACTACCTCTGTTTCATGTCCCACTCTGAGTCTGCATGTATCAAGTAAGGGGAATCAATAATTATCTCATAAGTGACTTCTCTGTCATCCCAACTGAAAGAAGGAGGACATTGAATTAAAACCATTCTTAAAACTGTATTCATAGGTAAGTGAGCTCCAGAGCACTCATATAACCATACATTCAAAGTTTGCATAATATCATGGAGGCCCCATCTTTTAGGGTCTCAGAAGTTAGAATTCTGTCACATTTTAGAGGACTAGTGGACATTCTTCCTCCTCCCAACTCTAATGTCTCCCAAATAACAACTGAAGTCCATGTTTCTGGGCCTCCTGACAGCCAGCCACAGTCATTGCTCAGAATAAATTAGGTTTCTAATGGACAGTGCTAGTCTAATACGTGATGGAATAAAATCCACTCCAGCTATTTGACTCTGATGAGCCTGAGCCCACTTTGCAACCCCATCCTGTATCGTTGAATTCACTGCCAAGTTTGCTGTGAAATGGTTCTTCTTGGGGAATAAGAGCCTCATATGTTTCCCATGAAATCATGGAGCTATTTCTCTTCTGCTGAATTATTCAATATGGTAGCCAACAGATCAGGTATTCAGTATACTAACTGCGCATGTTTTACTCTTAGTAATCACACGTGGCAACTAGCTATGGTTCAGTTCTATTAACTCAGAAAGTTCTACTAGACCTTGTGGTCTTGTGGTTTAAGGAGGGATGTTTTCAATAGTGTACTCTAAATCCTGATGAAAAAGAGATATTGTAATTGGCCTGAGTATGCTCTAAAACTTCTTTGCTGCTTTCAGGAGATATTAAGTGGCACTCTCACATGTATCCCTCAAATTCCAATCACTGGAAAGATATAGGTTTGAATGAAAACTTAGCAAACTTTTACAGATTCTTAAAATCTTCTCCCTATAAACCAACATTTCTCTTCATGTTTCTACCATTTCTTGTCTTCCCTGGAAAGAGGAACAGGCAGATAAAATTGTTTTCTTAATCAATATAAATAACTAATATCAATAGCTAGGCCTCATGAGCTTAAGCTCAACTCTACAGCAGTGTTAGATTTCAGGTCAAATAACTAGAACAATGGAATATGAGTCCTCACACAATCTTGTAGTTAGTAGTCAACATTCATCTGACAGTACCCCAAGAATTCCTCCAAAGTTTGACATCCAGCTACCACCTGAAAGATATTCTGAGGAGACAGGCTTTTTCTAGAGGATACGTCTAGTCTACGGTATTATGAAATATCCTGAAAGCAGACACTGATGTGGTGGGAGAAATGAGAAATGCGCTCTAGCCAGAGATATGGAAGATCTAGCTTGAACTCTTAAGTCTGCAAAATAGTTACCCTACATCTGTTTCCCACTTGGCAAAATGGCAAGCAAGAGTGCCCTGGAATCACTGTCTTTACATTTCTTTTGTCTTCATAGAACTGTAGATTGTCGTTCTCATACTCACCAACGTCTTACTTGATTTTCTCTCTGTAGCGATCGACAGAGATCCAGAGATGACAAACTACTCAGAGAACAGAGGACAAGGTCAGGTTAGTTTCTGTGTGCAGATGTAGCAACAATGTTACTATTGTGGTATTTATGGAAAACATTCATCGAACAAGCTCCAGTCACCCAAAAGACAATAATGGTACCTCATTTGAGTACATATGCCTTTGAACACATCGTGCAGTGGATTAAGCATTGGGTGGCTAATTCCAGGTTGGTGTAGTTTAAACCCACCAGCCACTCTACAGGGGAGAGATGAGGTTGTTGGCTCCTGTAAAGATTTATAGTTTCAGGAATTCTATGGAGTTATTCTGCCCTGTGCTATGGAATTGCTACGAATCAGAATTGACTCAACAGTTGTGAGTTTGGTTTTACTTGTATATCATTAAGAAAGACTGGTGAAAGGGCAGATATAACTCAGCACAGGAGAATATATGGGATAAATAAGCAAAGAGCAACTAATACAGGGAAAACCAGCAAAATGAAACAGTAAATTCATGTCTATTAATAATTAAGCCTATTGTAAATGCTTAAATGTACCAAACAATAGACAGAAAGTAGCAGAGGGGATCAAAATAAGTCCCAAGCTGAACAACATGACTAAATAATATGTCTACAAGAGATACATATTAGACGTGAAACAAAATAAGCTCAAAAGCAAAAGGTAGAGGAAAATTATGACTATATCATCTATATGACAGGCATATGGCAACACCCCTCCCACTCCGCCCCCCCAAAAAACAACCAAAAACCTGTGAGTTTCCAAGTCTGTAATTTTTATGAGAGTAAAAAGCCACATCTTTATCTCAAGCACTGGATGGTTAATTCAAAATTCTGACTTTGAGATTCACAGTCCAATGTGCAACCCACTACACCACCAAGGCTCCTTATGGGTCCATTGAGAGACCCTCACAGTACGTAATCAAACTCAGCAGAAATGAAAAGAGAAACAGCGCCACAGTGACAGGAGAAGACTATTATAGTACTTTGTAATTATATATAAATACAGCGCTTTCAATGAAGGGCAGAATCACTAGAAAGAAACACGACAAAAATACAGAAGATCTAAACAATACCATAAACTGATTTTATCTCCTAGATGTATAGAGAACCCTCTACCTAACAACAGCTAAATGCATTCTTTTCTAGTGTACATGGAACTTGCTCTACAACACGTCATATGTTAGGCCACAAAGCAAGCTTCAATAAATTTAAAACCTTCAAAATACTAAAAATATCAGAGTACAATGGTATAATATTATAAATCAACAACAGGAAAATCAAGAAAAATAAATATATCTATTGACCAGAATAACACTTTGCTTTAAAACTATTGGGTAGTTGAAGAAAAAAGAAGGTGAAACAAATATATTCCTTCAATCAAATGAAGATAAAAGCACAACACACCCAAATCTTTGGAACACAACAACAACACACTCGGAGAAACATTATAGCAATGATACCTCAGAAAAAGGACCAAAATGAACGTCTTAACCTAGCATCCACCATTAGAAAAACAACAGTTAATAAAGCCTACAGTCACAAAAGAAAGAAACAACAAATCTTCAAACAGAAACCAATGACCCAAAATACACAATCAATATTCCGATGCAAAATGTGTATGGGTTATTGACTAGGAAATTAATTTGCTCTGTAAACTTTCACCCAAGTCACAATAAAAGGTTAAAAAAAAAAAGGAGATCTCCAAAGAAAAGGCAAGAAGTCCTACCCATTGACCCTTCGCTCTGCACTGATATCAAGGTGACAGATGAATAGTTCAGGCTACTGGCTTCTTCCTCCCACCATCACTCCAACCTCTCCTCCTAGGGAGCTCTACTTACCCAGAAGGCTCCGATGAAAGGGTAACCCGACTTCAGCAGGGTGGAGAAGGCTGGGGTGAATTGAGGAGAAAAAGAAGAAAATGCCAAAAGGAGTCCCAAGCTCAACAACATCAACCCGCACAGGATCTGGATGGTCTGTTGGAAGAGGGAGAAGATGGAAGGTCAAAACACCACCACTTGTTTGCACAGAGCCTCCGCGCTCCTCCCATCATGCCAGTGTCTTGTCACTATCTGCAAGCCCTCAAGGGGGATGCAGACAGGTGGAACGCTCTAGAGTGCGGAGTATGAGAGCCATTGTGTCTGGCAATGAAGTTCTTCCACACTAAGAACGGTTGGTGATTGTATGGTGAGTGTCCAGCAAACCTTCGGTGTTTCTGCCTCTCAAGCCCTTGTCTTTTCTAGACTGTTCCCAGCTTATGAAATGTGCAGGGCTATTTTTCCTCTGTCTCTAAATCCATAATGGATAACTATTAGCTCCTCCTTCTATATCATATGGGACTAACGAATATCAGATTACTCATATCCCTTTGAGTGCAGACAACGTGGAAGCCTCTCACCACACACCACAGATTTCATTAGACACCACAACATGGGCTCAGACCTTCTTGGCCTCTTCAACCCTTGTTTCTATTGTGGAAGAGCCTGAAGTTCTACCATAGAAGGTGATGCTTCCCTCTCCTTTTCTCTGAGTTTCAGAGTTCTATTAACATTTCTCAATCTTCCCCAAACCTTATGTCCCATAAGCCCCACAGGAAGCAGAATTACTCTCTAGGTGAGGCAAGCCAACCTGTCTCACCAGCTTCTGAAGGCTTAGGAGATGAAGGGAAATGGTACAGAGCCCATTCTCATGCCAGAGTCCTATATTGTTCTTCTGAGCCCTCGATGGATCCCTTCCCGCTCCCGCCTGTCATTTAATGAATAGAACTTCTGTCATCAACAATTATGAGAAGAGACAGACAAACGAAAAATCACTTCTGCTCCTAAAATGACGGAGGACATGAAAAAGAAAGCTTTCAGTGAGAAAAGTTTTTTTTTAAAAATCAATTTGAATAATGAAGCACAAATTAGGGGAAAATACAAAAAGGATGTGAATTATGTAATTATTTACCACCATCTCTTTTGTAAAAGATTCTATTTATCTACCTATCTATCTCCTCACCTATCAGCATGGATAGGTACCAAAGAGCCGGTTGATATGCAAAATATGTTTTTGAAAATGAAGGATGGCTACATCAGACCATAAATGGAGATGACTGCTTCATTACATATCTTCCAAATTGTATTATCACCTAACTGAAGAGCTACTGAAAATCATGATCCAGCCAAATTGACACATAACCTTACCTAATATCACTCTCACCTCACACTTCAGTATTGCTTAATGCCAGATATATGCTGTCAATAGACAAAACAGTCAGAGAATACGTTTTTTATTTTTGCTGTACATATGAAGTCAAGATAGTGGTAAGTGAGGAGTAGATGTATTATACATTATATATATTATCAAATGTATGCACATATTGTTTTTTTAGCTTCGCAATTGTACAAACACGCAAACATTTTACTGAAAAACTCAAAACACAGCACCAAAAATCCAACACTCAAATGCTCACATTCAAGATACAGGAAAGAATCTCACAAGGTAAAGGTAAAAGTCTGGAAAAATATTCAAATGAATCTCCGTCTCAGCCTGGAATTCCCTGACAAAACATAGGAGTCCCCAGATTAGAATGGATCTCTGCCCCCCAAACATACACAGTCCCTTCTCTCTGAACCTCCCAGCTCCAACCTCTTCTGATGTGGACTCACCCCAATAACTTTAATCTCTGCCTTTACATGCTTCATCAGGTTATCCTGTCCCGTGTTGGGAGGTATTGGTTTCTCTGTTTGAGGAAGATGGATGCCACTTTGTGTGAGGACCACAATGTTCTCATTGGGCATATCCTTTGACATCATGACGGTGCCGCCAATCTGGGGGAGGAGGGCAGAATAGATAAATTCAGCTTGATAAATTCATTTGCCTTAAAAATGTACATCAGACAGTGTAAGACATGAAAATATAATAATAATTTTTAAATGATCAAGGGTTCGTGAGGGAGGGAGGTTGGGGGAGCAAAAAACGAGGAGCTGATACCAAGGGCTCAAGTAGAAAGAAAATAATTTGAGAATGATGATGGCAACACATGAACAAATGTGCTTGACACAATGGATGTATGTATAGATTGTGATAAGAGTTGAGGAAGCCCCCGATAAAATTATTTAAAAAGAGAGAAAAAATGTCTAGGGCTCCTAGGTACTGCCCTTCCCAAACTGTCTGCCTGTTAGTCCATGGGTTAGTAATGTGGAGCAGAAAAGCCTTAAAGTCTTGGTTTCATGAGGATTTTTCGATAACATCTGGCATAGCCCATCCATTACAGGTAATAAATCAGTCCAAGGGAGGCAACACCATGAATCTTGTTGGTCCCAATGTTGAGAAGCAAATAGTCACACCAGATTGTCATCAATATGAGGATAAATCTCCATTTCTCTCTGTCTCCCTAAATTCCCCTACAATGACTGTTTGCCTTCTATTGAATAAGTTTCACTGTAACCTACCCTACCAGTAATTTTTGATAATAATTCTGTCTCAGGTTTTCCTGTCTAGGTTCTGTACTGACTCACATAACTCTGTATGCTTATTTTAGCTTAATAAAATTTAATAGCATTCATCCTAATTATTCATACTATTCTTTGCAATAAGTTTTCCAATAGTGCCTTCAAGATTTAGAATAACCATATAGTTAGTTAAGTAGCCCTGATGGTGCTGTTGGGTAAGCATTGGACTACTCACTGCAGGATCAGCTTTTCAAACCCACCAGCTGCTCCGTAGGAGAAAGATGGGCTGTCTGCTCCTGCAAAGATCTGCAGCTCTAGAAACCCATAGGGCCAATAGGAGGCAGAATAAACTTCTGATGGCTGTGTGTTCGATTCTCACTTGGGCATGTTAGTTAGTTAACTATGTAACAGGTGTTATAAACAGAAACAACACGCATTTTACATATATGGAGATATAGAATTAATACTTAAGAAAAATCTGTGGTTATAGCTATTTCTAACCCAGTCACTGGAAAGCTGTAGAACCAGGTTTAGAGCACAGTTACTTTGAATCTACTTTGGAAGAAGCAGAGCCAGGGTGTTTCTTAGAAAGGAGGACAACAAGACCTTGTCTCCTATACTTTGAATATGGTACCAGGAGGGCTCAGTCCGGGGCAAGAACACCATACTTGGCAAAATAGACGGTCAGCAAAAAAGAGAAAGCCCCTCAACAATATAGATCGACCCAGTGGCTGCAATCGTGCGCTCAAACATAAGAATAATTGTGAGGATGGCACGGGACTGGGAGGGTTTCCTTCTGAGTACATAGAGTCTTCATGCATGGGAAACCACTCAATGGGCACCTAAGGACAAGCACATCCTTTCATCTAAAACTTTAAAAATCCACTCATTCATACTACCTTTTCCTCTCCAAGGCTGCTTCGCACCTGACAATAGCAGTTTGGAATCTCAGTTTATTTAGTCTGAGAGGTGGCTGTAGGTCAAGGTATGAGAACAGAACCATAAGTGTAGGTTCAAGGTCTGCACCCATCACTTACTAGCCTTTTCTTTTTTTTGGTCGGGTTGGGGGATTAAAAAATCCTGTTTATTACCCTGGTCAAAAGTCAATCATATAACAATACATCGCTTTACATATTTGTTTTTACACAGACAAACATACAGTCTGAATGACCAGCTTACAAGCCCCAGCAGTTTTATAAGTGTTGCTTTAAAAAATGGTGGTGGCATTATAAGACAAAAAGTCATCAGCGATGAAGAAATGAATGAATGGGGAGTGGGGTGGAAATCAAGGGGCTCTAAGTAAGCTGTCTGCTCACTTCTCATGCAAAGGGGAACTCGGTCTAAAAATAACTTCGAAACACAAATGACACCTGCGACAAAGTGAGAGGCTTGAAAATGGAGCTACAATCCGGTGGCCCGCCCCACTTCTTCTTTTTGACGAAATGTACTTTTTCTTCAGTGGGACCGGGAAAATCCCTCCATTCCTTTACTTTCTGGGTCCATGGTTGCTTCCCAATACTCGGTCTGATGACCTTGATATCTCCAGAGAAGTGCTCCATTATGCTCCCCACTGTTGTTGTTGGGCGTGAAAATCCACCAGGAAAGAGGTCTTAGCCAGAAGGGCTCGTTCACCCACGTTTTCCCAGTTCCTCACGATTGCTCCTCAGTCCATCAGGGCTCCTACTGGACGTTTCCACACAGCATTGGTCTCTGGCCAATACATGATTTCAGTATCAGAGCTCAAACACACAGCGCATGGCTCTGGGCCCAGCCAGCTTCCGGGACGAGGTGGACCAGAAGGAGCCTGGATTCTGGGCCAGGAGGCGCCCAGGCAGCTACCCTGTTTCCCCGAAAATAAGACAGTGTCTTATATTAATTTTGCTCCCAAAGATGCGCTAGTTCTTATTTTCAGGGGATGTCTTATTTTTCCATGAAAAAGAATATGGTACACATTTATTGTTTATTGTTTTATTAAAAGAGACTTCGCACTTCCTTTCTGCTCCGGCTACACTGCAGCCAACAGTGAGTTGTGTAGCGGCGCCTGCCCCTACGGTCCAGAGTCCAGAGTTACGGTAGCTTTGGAGGGGGGCCTTATTTTCGGTGAGGTCTTATTTTCAGGGGGATGCCTTATATTTCAGTGAGAGGCAAACTGTAAGTAGGTCTTATTTTCGGGGGATGTCTTACTTTCGGGGAAACAGGGTACTACTTACTCGTCTTAAAGATCAAGGTGCCTGAGGTGTGAGCTGAGGAACTCAGCTTTTCTCTTTCCCCTAAACTACTCCTGTTCCCACCCCACCCCACCCCCGCCTCCGTCGTTTGCACAATGGCCTGAGAACATCTGAAGATATGAGCACTGTACCTCCACTGATGATGAAGGACGTCAAAAAAATTCACGGAAAACATTGAATGAAAAGTTCATGACATTTTCCCACAAATAATCTGAAAGCTAGTCGTATGTGACACAGGGCAAGTGATTCACCAAAAAATCATGCAATTGGAAAACAGTTAAAGCCAGAGGCTCCTCCTTCCTGTTCGTTCTGTTTCTAAAATGCTCTGGTGCCTCTTAACTACACCCAGGATCAAGTCAAGTAGCCGTCTAAGGGGACCAGCAGGGGCATGGGGAGCGGAGAAAGTCTCTCTGCATTGCCCACCTGTCCCTGGGGACCAGCCCGGGGGTTCCAGTGCAGCATTCAGAAGTCCCCAGACGACATTAGCTTTGGGTGTTCCAACAGTCCTGTCAGCATTTCATCCTTGTCTTTATCTTGTGAAACGCCTGGCTCTTCCTTCATCCCGTGATGACGATATACAGGATATCGTGTGTGTGAAGGATTGCAGATTCGTGAAATCTGCCTACACTTCCTTTATTTTTTTTTTAACTAAGCTAGCTTCTCCAGACACATCACAAACAGAGCCGGCTAACATGGGAAGAGCTTGATGCAGTTCTGCCAGTGTGGAACGCTTTCCCAGTGCTCACTGCACCAAAGTCCACGGCCATCAAGTTAATTCTGACTCATGGCAACCCTGTAGGACAGGGAAGAACGGCCCCCTTCGGGTTTCTCAGACTGCGAATCTTTACAGGGGCTGACTGCCTCTCGATTTTCCTGCAGAACAACGAGTAGATTCAAACAATGACCTCCAATTTAGTAGCGCAATGTGTCACCCACTGTTCCACCAGGGATTTTTACTTCATTGTTGTCATTGCTGTTGCTGTTAGTGACCTTATGTACAACCGAATGAAACACTGCCTGGTCCTGCACCAGTCTCGCAATTGTTATGTTTGCACTCTATATGATTAAACAACTCTGAATTCTTAATCTTATGAATAGGGTAGCAATACTGAGACTAGACAAGATAGGCAAGTAAAATGTCTATCCTACTTTGAAGGAGCATTCCATTCTGCATAGCTAGAAGTGTCCCTTGAGCATGTTGTGAAGCAAAGATGCTACTTTGAGGAGTAAGGCGCACCTGACTCAAGCCATGGTGTTTTTAATGGTATCAGCTGCTATTGTTGAATAAGGAAGACCAGAGAAGCACTGATGCATTTGAATTGTGATGCTGGAGCAGACTATTGAAAGTACCATGGACCGCCAAAAGAACAAACAAATCCGTCTTGGAAGAAGCACAGCCAGAATGCTCCTTAGAAGCAAGGATGGGGAGACTTTGTCTCACATACTTGAGGCATGTTGTCAGGAGAGGCCAGTCCCCAGGGAAGGCCATCACACCTGGTAAAGTAGCAGGGCAGCAAAATAGAAGAAGACCCTTGACAGGTGGATGGACACCCTGGCTGCGTAGGGGGGCTCCAACAGAAGAACGGCGGAGCAGATGGCACAGGACCCAGCAGTGTTTCCCTCCACTGCACGTAGAGTCGCTGTGAGTCTGAACAACAGCAACAACAGTGTCTGGACGACACAACCCTTCAGCACGCCACGACCCCTTGAAAGGTTGTGGTTTGAATTCACCCAGGAGCACCTGAAAGGATAGCTCTAGTCACCTGCT